GCACTATTATGATTCAGTGTGAACAGATTATCGGGGTCGGCTAGTTTGAAAAATATGAACATTTTTTTGATGATCGTAGACAACTGAGCTAAGGCCGCCAGAACACAATGAAAAAACTAACAAACTGGACTCTACGGATAGAATATGACATGTTAAAATTTCAAATCAGGTTTTCTATTTTCAAGATTTCGCTCGATTTGCGCGATGTGATCGACAATATTAACATGATAGCACATGAAGATATTAGTTAAATTCGAGAACGGTTAGAGTTTACAGATATACAAGCAGACAAATCGATCAATATGGAACCACTCAATTAAAATAATTAACACAGAGAAAATGCGTTGTATTTCAAATAAGGCTTTCCTTTCATTGTAAAAGTTTTGCAGTATTCACGTCGGGTAAAAAACTAACCACGTTATTTTCGAAATAAAAGTGATCTTACCTCCCAATTGAACGCTGAAAAAGGACTTAGTTAACAATCACGGGTAGTGCTTGATCTTGACAAAGTTAAAAACAAGCTACACCAGAACGAAAAACTGTTTTCTTAACTTAATCAATATTAATGAATACTAATGACGTAGGCAGCCATGATCCCCAAAATAGTTTGCAATACATTTGAGGTTTTTTTCTTTTTTTTTTTCATCGTTGTTGTTTATTTCTTTGATTGTTCCATTGTGTCTACAGGTTGTGAATTTTAATGACATTTAAACCTTTTTCGGAATTTTTTCTTCGTAGTGCCATTCGAGGTCTCATTCATTCGGATATCTATGAAGTGTTGTTTTTTCAAAAGAGAACAGCTTTCACTCTAGCCTTTGGTCATCGCCAAACCACAATTGTGCAAGCTTTTGTTAAATGAGCCTATACTTTTAAAATCCACTGAAATAGCCAGCTTTAGAGAGTTTAAAAAATTTGTTGTTTCACCTAACTGATTTTGTACTATGTGTATCATCTTCAGCGAAAATAAAAAAAATGATTGCTTAAAATAGAAAATTAGGGAATGTAGATTGCTTATGTTGGTATTTTCTTCACTGGAAACTTGTGGTGGTCTTTCTCGATCGATATCATAAAGGAACAAAGACGGTTAAAGAAGGAACGATATTCAATTTATGGTCTTCTCCCGTTGCAAAATTAATGAAGAGTAACACCATGGGGTCAATTGAACGTGACTTGCATTTGGAATATTCAAACATTTACTTGGAGTTCATCCTGACAATGGACGACACTTTTTATCTGTTTACTAGCCTAATATACGCATTCGTGATATTAGGAGAACACGAGAAAAGTGTGTAAATTAACCGCAAGCTTTTAGACTCTTCTCTCAACATCCCAGGTAGGTCATTACGCCGCGTAAAGCGGGAGAACGTGCGGTCTATTCCTTTTATGAAATAGTTATGGCTTTATCAATACATTACGGAATAAATTTTTAGCCAACCAGAGGGTATTAGGAATATCAGTTCAATAAAGAGACTTACTACCTTGTGCATGCCATGTGCACGGATTTTTATTTTTTCTCTCAGAAGATTAAGTGGCATTTTGGAGAAATTTCACTGATGTCGAGATGCAGGACTTTGATCTACCGTGCACAATTCATTGACAATTTGGAACTAAAATCTTTTTGAATATCTAAAATTGTTTTCGAATTTAGTCATGCCTTGTCATCACCTATATGCCAACATCTAACGTCCCTCCGGGTCTTTTGTTACAAAGTAACTAAGAAATTTACCAAAGTTCTGTCTAAATTTTCTAGAAAACCTATTTACAAGAAAGCAAAATCGAGCATAATTTTTTCCGGAAAATCCTCAACCAAAGGTTAAAATCCATTAGAAAATTTCAAGTGTGGGCTATTTTCCGCTATGGAAAACTATTCAATGTTGTTTTTTATTGAAAACTGAACGCACTCCGACAGAGAGTAAATAAATATGACCCGTATATCTTGCTATGTTAATTAAGGTGTTACTCTCAGCAACAAATACACATTGTTCATGTGTAAATTTCCTTTCTTTTTGGAGCAAATAACTGATATGACATCGATCGAAACTAGCTACGCCAATATCGCTCACTTTGAATCACCTGGTAGATAAACATTTGCTGGGACTAAATAAGTCATTTTATGAGGCTTACCTGAAAGGAGGAAACCAAAATCCTTAACTTGTGACAATCGTTGTGTCTAGTAATTAGATTTTTCAAAATTCATATTGTGAAGAACTGAAAAATTCTAAAGCGAGATGGTTCTACTTAATTTACATTTCATTTTGCTTATAACTGCCTTGTCATCTGGTTTTACTTGGCGTGTGAATGCCTTGTGGTCTGTAATTAACAACGTTTTCACATTTTTCCATCTAAATTTCCCTAAGGGCATAAGAAATAAACTTCTATCCGCTCTGCCTTGTTTGTAATACGTGGCATTACCCTCTCTATAATATAATCATGAACGGAATATTTCGTACCACTTAAATATATTTGATTTGCTTAGATCTGTTGCATTTGAAATACCCATTTTCGTCATAACGATTTACTGCCTCCTAGCTAGTGGTTCCTCTGTCTAAAAAAAAGCTCTTGCGCGGTGTTCATGGCATCGATCTAATTGGGAACAATTCCGAGAAGAAGTTGGCAACGAGATTGTGATTATGGAAACATTTGGGAAACCATGGTTAGTTTTCTTCCAGTTTTTCATCGGCCTCTTCTGAAAGGAGGAAAGTGTTTCATACAACTCGAGCCCTCTTCACAAATAATTACTGCTTTCTTGTAATTAAGTTTGGCGAAAAACTGGGTAGGATCTCTTACCTTCTTCCTAAACGGTGACGCAGAAATTTGACGCTGTTGATTACACGATTTTTCTAGAAAAATGAATCCACTAAACCTTGTAATTTTTTGTTTGTAACACTGGTGAATAAGTAAGAATGTTTACAGTTAACAGTAACGATGATGAGGACAACTTTGTTGTTCAATATTCATTTCTTCGCTCCATCTCTTGAAATGTTTTGAAAATCGATTCTCAGAACCTTTATGAATTTGAGAATTTTGCTGAGTACTTGCCAGTCAAACAACCTGAATCTTGAGTGCATTCACATCATACAAAAGATATGGAACATGATTAGCATTTTATTTGAACGTCAGATGCACGAACCAGAACTGTCACATCGAGAAAGTTTTGGTGACCACATACACACAAAGAAAATGTTTCACGATAAAATCATATGTATGACTATGTTCCTCCGACGGAAAAAAAAGTGTTAACCAAAATACAGATTAGGAAGAAATTTTTTTCCGAAATGATTTTCTTTATCCAACGAACATATTTTTAGGCTTTAATAATCTTTTATTTTTCCTCTCAAAAGCGTTCATTTGTTGACAATTTAGGGGGAATCTAAAATTTTCTCTTTAGCCTGGACACACACAATAATTAATTTCCTAAAATTCAGTTTCAGCTCACAATGTTTACTAAAAAAGGACAAGTAAAACAAACAAAGTAAACATGTTTTGTTTCAGGTAAACAAAGCAAGAGTAAACAAAATTGTCACGAGCGCCTAAGCGCAGCTAACATACAAAGTGATGCATTCTAAATTTATGGAATTTTAATTAGACCGATGAACCTCCTTTTTCGTTTTCCGCGGACACGCGCGCTAATCCTATTGCCTTATTTCTTGGGATTACTATTATTCAACGTGCGGGGCCAAGGCTTAAAAATCAACACAGAGCTTATTTCATTTGGATTTGAAGGTTTTTTCTTTTTTAAGCCATTTACGTAAATTTCTTCGTTACGTATTAAATTTTTAAAGTAAACCAAGCATAAGAACAAATTTTAAAAAAACTTAATATTCGAGAGTTAACAAAATGACAAGAATTTTACTTCACCACGACATTCACTGAGTTCTTCCACAGTTTTCAATACTCTTTTAGGTCAAAATTGTACGATCTACCCACCGAAAAATTGGATCTTTTTTACTCATTTAACAAATGTAATATCCCACAAAACTTCAAAGTAAGAATTACTTTTACCACAATCCCAGACTCATCGACGTTAAACAATGACCTGGGTGGTTCAGGGACGATGCCAATTCGTTTTGTTTTGTTTCGTTTTTTCATGGAGGTAAGTTTGGCTCACTGCTCTACGATTTAGCTTTTTCTTCAATTGTTGTTTCCACTAAAGCTATTGAATCGGATGTTGTCATAATTCGTTGACCCAAGCAGTTTTTTATATTTCAGCTTCTTGCCAAAATGCAAATTAGCTAGCTGGCAAAATTACAAAGAACTCCGCTTCAAACACAGTTTTTCCACTATTTCAATTAATTATCAGGCGTACCAGGCTCCGATTGTTAAAGATTGCTAATTCTGCTTCTGAGGTTAGATAGAGAACTTCGAGCGAAGCAAAATACGAACAATAATGGATCTATAATGTGGAGATTAGGTAGAGAGAAGAGGCAAAAGCTTTGTTATTTCGTATGCGTCTGCACGGTGAGATAGCTGGTGAAACTACGCCATGTTCCGTCCGGCTTGTGAACCTGACCACCTTTCCCATATGGAAAGAGGTGTGTATTCCAAATACTAATCGTGCGTTCATTTTTAAGTCCATTTCAAAATTTAACATAAAAGATATAGATATTCCACTTCTTATTTCATTTCAAACGACAGTTTTATTGCCATTTACGACAACTTAAGGCGTTATGTCTGCTTTGACTTAGTTCAGTCTCGGTCTAAGGTAAAAATCAGATGCTATGCTTAACTGAACTTGGTCACAGATTGATCATACCCAAACATTCAAGATAATTTCTTGGAGTCGATCAGTTACAATCTTCTCCACGTCTGACTAGGCCTGTATCTTCTTGGTCTATCAAAGCTTCTTTAATGTAGTTCTGTTTAACCCTTTGACTCCCAAGATCTGATTGTCAATTCTCCCCTCTAGCTGCTACACATTTCCTTGTTAATTAGTTACGAGAAGTTGGTGATCAATCAAGGTAATATCTTCTACCTGATGAGTTTGAGTATTCTCATTACCTGTTTGCTGAATAATGTACGGATACTATAGGGAGATGTTACATGTTTATCACTTCTGGGAGTTAAAAGGTTAAAAAAATTATTACTGTTGACGTTCTTCCAGCTGATAGTAGTTTTACATGGCACAAAACGTGACTCGAACTCTCGCGATGTAGCCCTTCCACTCGGACAGTACCTTTCCAAATTCTCATTACCTATTAGCCTGACAGTGTTAGAAAAGTAAGAAGATTTTATCGAATAATCACTCCTGGAGGTGAAGGTTAAAATAAGCTATTCGGGGAGATTTAGTTACGACTGGAGCTTGGATAATCCGTTGAATACTTACGAATGAACAAAATTCGCCTCAATGGCTTCAAAAAATAAACAAAAAACTCCAATTATACATATTCCTATTATTAACATGACACCGTATAGTATGACGAGTAGATATGACTCCTTCACTACTCACTTGTGAAAATGATTACTTAACTCTAATTGTCCTTTCATATATACTGGTTCGCCGCAGATATGGCTGCGCTATAAACAAGGTTCATAATGGAGTGCTATACAGTAACATTAACACCTCAGATATCGCTTATTTTAGACGCTATGCATAAATGTTTACATGGTTACCACTCCTCCACATGATTTATACAACCGCAAAGCTTGGTGCGAGGTTCAAAAGAACACACTGTGTGAAATAATCTGGTACCTAAGATCAAAATATATACAGAGTTTCTATTTCATAGGCATCGTGATGTGGTAAGTAACGATTTCTTACAGCACAGATAATTTATTATCTTAACTATGCGTATGGAAATTCACAGACTAATTTGGTCTTCGTGAGCGAATGGGGCCTATAGTCTTTTTGGCACGAATATCGAGCTTTGTAGATCAACATCAAATGGAAATACATGATTCAAACGGACAACAAAGGCAGCAATACCATTACATTTGAGAAATTTCCGATGTTCAGAGGCTCCAACAAGTCCAAAATATTCTCTTCATTTCCGAGACATCTTTGGCACCTCTGACAAATCTCTCAGAATTCTTCTCGAGCAATACCAGAACATGTCGAAGATTTCCGAACAATCTCCCGAACCCTCTCTTGTCTTGGACCACGAAACCATGACTAATTTGTAAAGCGTTCACAGAAATCGCTCCAAGTCGTGCAGTGGTCACACAGAAGTCTGATTAAGCAGCGCTGCCGATTCGTCGTCTGCCTTGTGCCAAGATTTTTTCACGGGGTTAGGAGAAGCCTTCATTGAACGTCGCAAAGATTCCGTTCTTTTAAGATTATTTAGAGAGCTGTTAGAGCCGAGATGATGGCCAGGAGCGTTGAGATAGTTCATGAGGGGTTGGCCGTTCGGGTGAAGAAGTTTATTTACTTTGTTGCTGGTGCGTTTGACGGCACTTATCAACCAATATGTTTTGCAAGTGCCCTTGCCCTGAAAGACAACAAAGGAAAACAAAATATACCAGGGTAAGCACATTCCAACACATATCAGCAAGGCAGCACAGTATGGTAACATGGAATTCAGACACAGAGGCAAGAGCACTCGCTTCTCACGGCTGTCGCCTGCGTTCGCACGCGGTCACTCGTGGGTTATAGCAGGTACATTATCGTTTGTCCAACTTGGAAAAAGTAACCTGAAATTTCCAAGTTCGTCAAATGCAATCCTTGTTAATCCTCGCAATCCTGGAGTTTTTCTCGTTTCTTGTTTCGCTCTTTACATTTGGGAGTTTATTTCTCCAGCGAGATATTGTTAGAAGCCTTTTTCCTAATTTAAGGAGTTTATCTGAGAATGTTAAACTTATTAAAAACAACATGACGTACACTACTTTAACAGAGGATTCTCGTATCCTCCGAATTTTCTCCTCCACCCCCACCCCTCCCTCCCCCCTCAATGAATGTGGTTGCAATTCACAAAAAGAGTTTCGTTCGCTGATCAATGTTCACCTAAGTAAACAAATAATAGTGACAAGTTTACGTCTCGCTTTCTTACTTTTAAAAACACTTCTCCTCTTTCTTGAACTTCAAAGCCACCTAGATCGTCGAGTATACCCTTGGTGGCTTCACTGATGTGAATACGAAGAGCTGCAATATGGAAATCAGCAATCATTTTTAGATTCCTGAGTGTCACATTTCAGAATTTGAACATTAAGTCGAGAAAAACTGACCAAGATGGTCTCGAGTAGCTAATCGGAAGTTAACAGACTTGACTGAAATCACAATCGATTTAACTAGAATCAAGAAAATAATCATAAACAGAAATTTTTTTCATTGTAAGTAACAGTTTTCCCTGACTTTAGGAACGTCAGAGGAAATTGAGACTCTGGATAATAGACAAACAGCAGTCAGTACTAGACAATACAGTCAGTACGACAACTGAAGTTCTCGTCAATTCTCCCCAACTTACGAGAAATCCTTCCCCAAAATATGTTCAAATGTTGTCGCCATATGATATTGAGAGGAGGAAGAGGCATAGACATTCACCATAAAATATTGAGAAAAACAACAGTCATTTTTGTCTGTTAAATTGTGTCTTGAGAATTATAGAAAATACTGAAGAAACTGACCTTCTCCATTGGATTCCATTCTAGACGCAGTGTTTACTGTATCACCAAACAAACAGTAACGGGGCATAGTGTTACCGACCACGCCCGCAACAACTGGACCTGCGAGAAAAGGCAACGAGGATAACTAGTGACACATGGGGTAGAAGTTACCATTGACTCATACTCACTCCAACTCACATGTCAACTATACAGCCTTTGACCTCTTAGAGTGACAAGTGTCTAATTTCTCCTTACCATACCACCCCTGAATCACAAACTAAAGTCACGAGAATAGTGGATCACCAACTAAAGAGGTTCTTGATCGTTAAACAAATTCTCCTTTTCGGCACCTTAGGAAATTATGGAGAAAAGTATGGAGAACTTGCATAATTGTTAGGACGTAAAGGGTCAACAGCCAAAGGTTGCACTGCACGGTCGTTGGATGAAGACATCATGTTTTTGAAACGGGCGAAAAAATTCTGTGATAAAAAATTATCACTGATTTAAGGTTTAATTAAACTTTCCCTTTGCCCTCTGAATGGTCTACATTGTCTGGTACGACTTGTACAGTTATGGAACACAATCATATTACGATTTACCGCTATGAAGTCCAACCCTGAGCTTAAGCTGATGATCCGGTTGGTGTCGAACTTTGAAATCCGTTTGCACAGCCTCCACGAGATGTAGTGCCATCCGGGATATCTCACCAGCATGCTCATGGCCATTTCTGATAGGCAGGCCTGATACAACCATGTAGGCGTCACCAATTGTCTCCACCTGAATACAAGAAACGGGTTTTAAACTAACTTGCAAGAGCAACCTGGAGAAAAAAACTTCTACATTTCAAACATCTCATATGCACTTACTTTATACACGTCATACTCCTGAATGATGTTATCAAACAGCGTGTATAGATCATTGAGCAGAGTCACAACCTGTATAAAAGAAAATGTCGTTTAACTTACATCAGCAAGAATACACTGGCTTAGCCTAGCCACGCACTGTATGCACCGAAAAAAACAATGAACGCTTGACTTATTCAACGCCGTATTTTAAGGAACACGAGAGGATTTTATTAAGCTTTGTACCTGCAAGAGATCTTAAAGAATACTACAAGAGCTACAGTGAGAGATGAATTGAAGACTTAGAAATCTCACTGGAAGTTGTGATAAATGTTAGTTTCCGAGCAACTGCGCAGCTAACACAACAACAGTCAACCTATACCGAACTAGGGTTAATGTTGGGGTTAAGGAGAGGTAGATGTATAATTTCTCGGATACTGACGCTGACCTGGAAGATACAGTAATGCTGGTTTGAGAGGGGAAAGAGTGAAGGGGACGGTTTATTGCCGGTTGTCCCCGGAGGGACAAGAGCAACTAATGAACAACGCACCTGCATCGGCGTACTCCCAGAGGAGAGGCTGGTGAATCCTACGATATCACTGAAGTAGATTGACACTTCATGGAAACTCTCTGCTTCTACCTCTTGGCCCTTCTTGAGTTGCTCAGCCACAGGTCTGCAATGAGACCAAAAAAGGAATTAGTGCGAAGCCAAGTAGTGTCCAACTCGACGCAGAAAATGAAAACCGTGATAACAAATTCAGTTTAAACCAGCTAAACTCACCCTGAGAAATCTCTGACAAAGACGTTTATCCTGGTATGGAGTGGTCCATCTATCTCTTCAACCTCTAAAATTTGCTGACTGTCTTTGAGGGCGTTTACCTTCCTATGAATAGGTCTGTCGATCTCCGCAACTTCATTAAAACTGGCTGACTGTCTTTGTTTCTGATATTTTCTTGGATTTGACTTTCTAACTTCCTGACATAATCTTGTGCGTCAGCACGAGTGTAAATCCGGTTCTGACTGATTCATGGTCATTAGCTATTTTCCGTCCGTTACCTTTCTCGAGTTCCAGGGGCGAAATTCCGTGAGTCTTACCTAAGTCTTAGATCGCGCAATCAAGCCGAATGTACATGCGTTCGTTGAGTTTTGAAATCGAGCCTCGGTACCATGTCCACCTTATCGTTTACAGTCCTCTTCGGACGGTTAAACTGTCTATCTAATTCCACCTCTTATCCCACCAACTTTAAACATCTTGTTCGTTTGCATTTTGCGTCAATTTTTTCTTATAGAACCTAAACGTCAAGATAAACCCCTCTAAAGGTTTCCATGGTTCGGAGATATTGCGTTTTAACTAGCACAGCAATGATTATGGATTAAAATCGTACTTATGTGGAACAAACTCTTTCCTGGATTTGTTAGGACAACTTCTGACAAACTTAACCTTAAAACTACGAATATGTCAGTCCTGTTCAATCCGCCCACAAATCCTTCATAACATCATACCTACGTCATCGTCTGTTTCCGCTACTGGACGAGCATCAGTACTTGTGTACCTTCAGTTCTTCAACATGTAATAAAGCTAGACGAGAATGTGTCTCTAGCTACATGACTAAGTTACTCAAGTTACTAATAGCTGAAATATTACATCCAAGAAATCTCTAAAAGAGCGCACCACTCGTCTGCTGTTACCAAATGTTGACGCACCTTGGTAGCATTCTTTCCAGAAGTGCATCCGTCTTCTTTTTCTCCTCAATCAGCTGACCGGTTCTTTCCATTACAAGCTCCTCCAAGTTATCAGCGTACTTTTCCATCATGTAAACAATGTTATCGAAGATATTTGTCTTCCTATTAAGGGAACATCAAAGGCACGTATGGTTTGATTACCATGATCTAAGCTTTGCTTTCCCCTCTAAGCTTCTTGCGATCTGTTCGGGGGGTGAAGGATTTCTTTGGGGGGGAGGGAGAAATCACATGGTTTTCAGGGGGAACGGAGTAGGGATCAGTCGTCGCCAACAGGGCATAAAAGGGGGTGGGGAGGGAAATTTTCACTACATTACAAAATTTTAACCTTTCCTTCAGTTTCATAAATTCAATAATCCTCTCCTCCTCTAATCGTTCAGCTCTGAATATATTCAAAAACCTCTCCTCAAAATTGGCTATTGTGACGAAGACCATAAAACCAATTAAACGAAATTCGCATGGAATAAAAATTGCAGCGAGGAAAAGCAGTTGACCAGCTAAATACTGACTCTAATCCTCCCTTTCGTCCTTCACAAGTGAAGGCTGGTTAAGGCAAATATAGATGCTGGAAATCTGGTCAACTTACATGCCGTTGTTGACCAGAACTTTGTGCATGATCTTTTTAATCTCGTGAAAGTCTGGTCTCTCTTCCGAGTTGTCATTCCAACATTGCTTCATCAGTTCCCGTAGCTCCTCCACACCAGTTATCAGTGTTGTAACTGTCGGACGGAAGGGTGGGAACTCACCATCCTTTACTCTACGGATAATGTCTACGGCAACAAAGAACGCAAATTACGAAAATTTAACCATGATTTCAAAGGAATAACTACCAGCAAAATGAACCAAAGAGTTTTTAACAAGCAGTTAAAACAAAGTGATCAAATGAACGATGCTTTTTATCATCGTTGATCAACAGTGCGCCAACTAACCTTTTGGTTCCATGAAATTTGCACTGTAAGGACCTTCCCTTGTGTGGAACTCTTGTAAAATTATAGCAAAGCTATAGACATCACCTTTTTGGGTTCCCCTCAAAGAACGATTTGGAATTCGTAACAGTTCCGGAGCTACCCAAAGTAAGTCTACAAAGAAGGATGCAAAGGACCTTCAATGTCAATTCATTTCTATCATTTTGTTGGAAATCAGTAGGAAACAATAAGTAGACATGAAGTAGCATGACATAATTTCACGTGACAAAAGTATCGTCACAAATCGCGCACGAGGTGTCGTGACAAAACATGAGGTGTGGTCTTACGACCTGAGGTTTCGCGACAGGAAGCAAGGATGTACTTGAAATGATGAGACAAGCTAGCCACGGCTTCATAAAGCTTAACACTGCATGCTATCGCTCATAAGATCTATTTTCCGGAGGGAAAAATACATTTTGCAAATGGACGAGCAGTATTCTCTCCACCAGATCGATTGCTTATTTCACACTTTCCACAGCTTTTTTTCCCGCATTTTTCTCTTGTTTTAGTCCTCTCCCAAATATTTGACCCTCATCACAAGGTGAGGGATTTTCAATTCACTTCCACATTGAATTTTCATGGGAGGTCAAGGCGTAAAATAAGGGGAGGAGGTCCTGACGTGGAAGCACCCTGTTTTTCAGGTTTGTTTGTTTGTTTTCCGCAAAAGACCTTATTCATAAGAATAAACTTGACAATCCCCAATATGCTGGTAAAACACTAGCGTACGACACTGGCTACTAGAAAATACTTTCAACACCCTGAGAATCCTCTCACCTCGATAATAGGCGTAGTCTTCTCTGTTCTTTTTCAATTTGTTTCTAAAAGAAGGGAGACCATAGTCGGTGATCTTCAACACCCAGCGGCTGTCCACCAAACAATTAGAAGACTTGAGATTACCGTGAGATTTTACATCTGTACTGTGCATGTATGCCATACCCTGTAAGGAAATGATCGTGGATTTAGAATTTGCGCAAAACAAAGATTGTCTCCCTCGACTTCATCGAATTTTAGCTAACGCAGTTAACCCTTTACTCCCTAACATCAGCGTGCATATTCTCCATACTACTCGCTAGACAATTCCTAGGGTTCTGACAAGGAGAATTTGTTCAACGATCAAGAGCTTCTTTAGTTGGTGATCATCTCCTTTATTCTCATGACATAAATGTTTGATTCAGGGGTGACGTTGTAAGGAGAAATTAGATGTTAGTCACTCTTACGGGTTAAAGGGTTATGACCTTATAAACCAACAACGGTCTTACAAGTATCCTCCAAAGATGACATTTAGCTACCTTCACTATGTCCGCCACAAGGGAAGCTATAAACATGTGATCCAGCTTGACGTCTTCATTTTCTAAAATATCCTACGAGACATAAATCATAGTTAAATACCAGGGAACAAACAAAGGAAATATTATTTGTTTTGTAACAAGCTGGGGACGGGAAGAAGTCTGAATGCGCCACGAGGAGTAGAACCTCGCACCTTCGGATTTCACCTTCCAATGCCCTACCACTGAATTACAAAGACTTTCACGCGAGCGAGTCCACAGCTACAATCAGCGTCAAAATTAGTTGACACATCATGTTTGCTGAGTCTTATTTATGCGTAGAATAACACTCCTCTTTCTATCAAACTCCAAATCATGCTCAGGACCCCCTCTCCGCTATTCTAAAAGTTCATGGAATCACGATACAATGAACCACGATTGTTTTTTAGAGAGAGGGGCGAATATATTAACTTAACAAGGGCAAAGGAGATTAAATTGAAGTAAGAAGGGATTGAAAAGGTCAATGTGTCCAACATTTATTGTAAAAAAATCCAATTTTGAGTCAAATGAATAACTTTTGTAAGTTTTTCGGTTTATTTTTTTACCTGCAGACTTCCTCTAGAACAATATTGCATTACAATACAAATTTCTGGCTCCACACAAGCACCGATGAATTGATTCAAATTATCATGTCTAATATCCCTCATCTATCGAAAAAATCCAAACAAACAGAACGATGATTAGTGGTAAGCTGCAAGATGTTTACATCATGGAAATTCTCATAATACCTTAGAGTAAGAGAGCTTCTTTCCACGCAGAATTGAAACGCTCTAAATCTTTCTCGGCAAGAGTAACAAAGTTAAGTAATTGCTTAGATATGTATAGAGATTCTCGCGCCCTGATTGGCAGAGGATTCTGTCATATCTTGCTATAATCACCTCGTACAAGGTGATTATAGCAGAGGCACTGAATTTCAGAAATGGTTGCGTCGTGTTTCGTCAATTCTACCGAGGAAATGATAAACGAGACAATACATATTACAATCTGTTCTTTAGTATATCTGTGTCAAACAAACGAAATACCTGTTTTAGCTCCAAAAGAACTTTCCTCGTCAGATCTAAATGACCTTTAGGAAGTTTAGCCACTGTAACCATATTGCCCTGCAAGTTAGAAAAGTTTCTTGATTAATCAAAACTAACACAAAATTCTCGAACGCGATGGGTTATCACCAATCGATATGAGCACTAATAGGAATGTACGCGTCATGCTTGTAATTAGACATTGTAATATACAAGTTAAAGGGACAATTAACACGTCGTGCCTGTGTAAGTGGACAGAACGCGTCACGTGCGCGCGATGTTGTCTCGCATTTCGCCGAGCTAACTGTTATTTTATTTTTTATTAAAACGTGTAACCGATGTCTAGTTTCTTTCTCAAATTTTATCAAGGTTTTAATTATTTGGTAGTTATAACAGGACTTCATGTCGGTCCTATTACCACTATAAATCGATCAATTTACGTTAATTCGGTAAAGATATTTTCGATTAAGTGTAGAGAGGAATCCGGGAAAGCTTTGGTTTTTCTTGACTTGACTCTTAGTTTCTGTTACGTCCCAAATGGTTCACATTACCTTGTAGCTTCCTACAGTTGTGATTTTTCCATCGCTGCTTTCTTCCGTTATCAGGGGCATGGCTTCTTCATTTGTGTCTCTCTGTTACAAAAAAGAAAAAATATCAGTCTGAGTCTGCCCTTCAACCAGAAATTGCTTTTCAGAAGTTTTGAAGGCCTGTAGGTGCATTAATATCCGACATGATCAGCGTTTCTTGTGGGTCAAAAAAACATACCATGGCACTTGCTAACGAGGTATTTGATGCTCTTCGCTCAAAGCCCAGTTGATTATAGTCAATCTTCCATAATCTACTTTTCAGTTCTCTTTCCAACCTGTACTGTCTGGAAAACAAGAAAACAAAACGGAGTAAAGAAAAAAGGTCTCCTTTATGGTCATGCATAACTGATAATGAGTACATAGAGGAAAACCATGACAAAGTTCTCCACGAACAAGCCAAAATTTAGAAAACATCCGTAAAATTGGTTAACTCACACATTCAAGAGCAAACTCTATCAAGATAAAGTTTAATCTACCATCTTGTATTTTGCACAGGAAGCTCTACCACGCGTATACTTTTATAGTTTCTAATCTTCTTTCAACTCCTTAACCCTTTAACCCGACGATCTGATTGTTAATTCTCCCCTCTAGCTACGACACATTTCCTTGTAAATTAGTTACAAGAATTTGGTGTTAGATCAAGATAAAAACTTCTACCTGATTATTGATTCTCCTTACCTGTTTGGTGGACGATGTATCGATATTATAGGGAGAACTTAATCACTTCTGGGAGTTAAAGGGTTAATTCCACTGAACCTTTTTATATATTTTCACACATGATTTTGACAACAGCCACACAAGGCGCAAACATTGTCACTTACCTGACTAAATTTATCACAAGTAGAATGGCAAGGAAACCCAGACCACATGAAACTCCAGCAATGATTTCTTTTTTGTTGTCTAGATGAGGATGGAATGGTGATCACAGTTAAAAAATTCCCGATAATTAGCAAGAAAAAAAATTAGCAGGAGCTGATATATGACAAAATGTGCAAATAGAATAAAAGGCAAATTTTAAGATTAGTCATCCATTAAAAAAAAAAAAAACTATAAAATATATAATTTTATGTGAAGACAGCAAATTCTTGCTGATGAGTTTTATTGTTCTCATCAACTCTTTGAAAGAAAACGCATTGAAACCATGAGGAGAAGTCACAGATTGATCATTTCTGGGAATTAAAAGAAGTAAAGGAGAGAGTGTAAAGTAACTGGAAAACAGTCTTCATGTCTGAATTTAAAAAGAAAACATCTCAGGCCATTGACACATGTATTTCGCTGGAAAATTCTGAGTAGTAGCTTGAGCATTCTTCGTGACCACACAACAATTAACCCTTTACACCCCAACATCAGTATGCATATTCTCCATACTTTCTCTGTACATTTCTTAAGGTATTGAAAAGGAGAATTTGTTTAACAATCAAGAGTATCTTTAGTTGTTGATCGTTTCCCTTATTCTCATGACCTTAATGTTTTAGTCAGGGGGTGATCTGGTAAGGAGAAATTAGAGGCTAACAAATAGATTCCATGTTGCCATGCGGCTGTTCAGTAAACATCACAGATGACATAAAATGTGATAAGAACAAAAAAGGGGCAAACAAGGCGCAGCTATTTGTGTCACTGATGTCCATACCATATTTTGACACCTCCTTTGACCAATTATTGAACAGACCTATGATAACATGACATCTACGCAATGTTTGTTTTATGTGATAACAAAGTACAATTTTGTTTATGGTGAAGTCATCTGTGCATTTGTACTCCAATAAAACATAAGTGGGAACCAATCCAATTGTGTGTATAATTCAGCTCATCATGTAAAACTAATTAAAACACAAGTATTGTATATTCAACATTACCTGGAGACTCGTCATTTGGACCAGGGCACAGCTCATTGTCAAATCCACAGTCGGGACGGTCCTTAGGTGCTTTTCTACTTCCCCCCACCCACAGTTTGGTAAAGTTTTTGCGGAATACAAGGTGTGGAAAACCTGTCTGGGACCTGTTACCGGACAAATTACCATATTTTATCTGGAAATCTCCAACTTCAACTAAATCTGTCAGAAAAAAAAAAATAGAGTATTATTGGCGAGGAAAGAGGAGCAACCAGCTAAGAAAGAAATATGGGTGACATACTGGTTGAGCAAAGTGAAAGTTAACTAAAAGACAGCAGTAATGTTTTCTTGAGTTCTGCACACATTAAACAATCCTATTTTTAAATTGGACAATTTCAAAATTGTTGCTGATTGTCACAACCATTTCATGTTGCATTGATTTTAGAAAAATATTTCTGCGTCAATTGATATCATACACAGAAGTTACAGCATATGTATCATCACTCTGTTGGGCATTATTGTGCATTTGAGACCTTAAATAGAAATTTCCAATGGCTAAAATGTATTTTAGCTCACTCACAAGCTTGTGTAACGGTTCAGACCATTTTGTAGTCATTTTTTTTTAGTTCTTATGTTCTCAATGCACACCAAAGTTATAATTACAGTTATTACATAGAGGTTATGTTCTCGAGCATAAATCTGTTTTCAATCCTTCAGGAAGTCATTTTATCCCTTGCCTAGCAGCTTGGGCTAAAATGATTCTGAGCTGGGCTCAAAACATATTTAAGCTCACAAACATAAACACTGCTTTTTTTTCTTTAATTGAGACCACAGTTAGCTTACATGTCTTGCACTTCACTGATAAATTGACACATGCATGCTGTATTCAGCTTAGGCCTATAACTCACCATAGGGATCCTCGCTGTGAGTTGGATTTTTTCTGACATCTAGCAGAGTCAAGTTGAATTGTGCATCCCCATTGTTATCCAAATGTATTCTGTAACCCTGAATGCCTGTAACAAGTACAAATTGAAGAAAAACACCCTAACTTTGACTTCAAAACATTACAGACATTGTTTCAATCATACAGTAAACAGTTTAAACCAAGGAGCAACAGGAAATCCTTTAGTCTGATTATCCAGGTGAGATCAGTAATGAGAAGGATTGTTGTCAGTGACTACTGTAGCAGCCACTCTATGATGACTTCCACTAAGGTTCTTGAAACATCAGTTTCTATATTAGGGCCAACCACCCCCGTCTAACCCACTTTCATCGAGACAATCAAACTATAAGATCAAACGACACATCCCTCTAAACAAAGATTCCCCTATGAAGAGAACTCTGTCATGCTGAAATGAATAAAAAATTTTGCAGTTCTGGATTCATCAACATGGAGCAGTCTTTTGTCAAATGTAACAAAACAAAAAGTCCAAGCCAAGCAGTCCATTCTACCAGAGTGTATCCTGATTTATTCAGCATGAAGCAAGTAGGGGTATTTCTGCCAAGGAGTAATTCATTTTTCATGGAATGCTGATCACTTTCACCCATCAATAACTTGTCAAATTTTCCTCACAGTTTGCTAAAACCTATCTCTACGTCCACAGATGTAAAGAAGCACTTTTGATGCATCCAAAGTGTTTGTACTTGAACCTACTGACTGAGTGCAAGTGGCAGAGGTGAAACTACTTTGTTCAAGGTCAGGACCAGCTCAAGACACACTGAGCAGTTGAGAAGACCTTATTACTGTTTCTACTAACCATCAAAGGTGTAATCCCGAAGCTGTGCAGATATGTCTGCTCCTGTAGGGGTTCTATTCTGCCCCTCAGATTCTAGAAGGGCTTGAGATCTGTTCAGTGCTAAGCCAAATTGGTATACAGCATTGTACAGGTACCCAGCATAAATGGGAGGCTGAATAAAAAAATCAAACATTCATTCACACCCTACAAGCAGAATAACCATCAGTTTTTTTTTCTATGAAAATAAATTTTTTAACTGAAATGTTAGAAGTTGAAGAGGCACTTCCCTAAGGTGAACTTAGATGCAGATAAACTACTCATTCCCTACACTTAAAATGCATGTTTCAAATTGTCTCTATATGAAAAGGAAAACGTTACATGCTTGCTTAACACTTTACACCCAAACATCAGTGTGCAAATTCTCCTTACTAATCTCTAGAGTATTCCTTAGGTGTTGAAAAGGAGAATCTGTTTAACAGTCATTAGTTTTTTTTTTTTAGTTGGTGATCATTTGCTTTATTCTTGTGACTTTAATGTGTGATTCAGGGGTGATATTGTAAGGAGAAATTAGATACTAGTCACACTTAGGGGTGAAAGGGTTGAGGATATGCCCCTGTGTTGATAGCATCTCTCACTCATTCCCCTCACTCACTAATGTAAGAGATCATGCTATTATCACTGGAAGATAAAATTCACATACACACAGGCCCTGTATGCATGAGGCTCATGAGCAACAAACCACAGGAGGAAAAAACCATAACTCATGACAAGGACCAAAAGAATGAGATCCCCACAATATTCTTAACATTTCTATGATGACAGTCTAGCAGAAAAACTTCATATAAATGACACATGTTGCTATGCACTTCCTAGGGAGACACGACAATTATCGTAAAGCAGACCATAATCATTTTGTTACATTTCCACCCTCTTATGACAATTTTTAAAGAGACCTAGGATCAATATCAGTATCTGGGCAACTGCCCACCTACCCCTACCCTAATCCAACAACAGTCTATTGATAACAAGTTAGGGTTAATGTTGGGTTAGGGGAGGGGTAGGTGGGCAGTTGCTCAGATACTGATATTGATCCAAGACCTACAGGGAGTGGCAAAAGTTTTGGCACGCACCCTAAACTCCCCCTCTCCCCCATCACAATGTTACCTGGCACTGGTGTTGGCATCAGAAATTGGTCACCACCAGGTTACACTGTCTAGGGGAGCAGGGGTGGGTGGAGAAACTTATTGGACATGAATTACAAGATTTCTGCTTTTTATGTTGAGTGGAGGGTTGTCAACCCCTATCCAAGGGGAAGTGTGCAAAGTACTTTTGCCACTGATTATTAACATCTTCCAAAAAGATTTCTGCTTATATTTGTACTTACACTGTTTGCAAATGCTGAATTTGATTTATTATATGCCATACTAAAGAAAGGACTCTTTGATGTCTTTAGCTTGACTTGAGTCGCAAAATTTTCATAACCACTTCCACGTGGATTCTTCACTGCCAAAATAAGTGCTGCCTGCATAGCTTCTGGAATGTAACTTTGACTGATGTTTCTGAAAGAGAAATGTAGACAATCTTGTCTCAGCTTTTTCCACCAAGAACAACTGATAGATGAATACCTCAAATAGTTCACATCAAGATATCTTTTCAGGAACCTAGCCACTTCTGGGGTCCAAGCTCATTTTTTCAAACATTCACCATCAATTATGAAATGGTTGCCTTAAAAAAAAATATTGGTCATACATAAAGTGATAGTACCTTTATTTAGGCAATATATTTAAAAGAATTTATTTACTTGGAAACCCAACATCAGCTTGCTTCAATTTCGTTTAACTAAATTCTACCAATCCAACACCTCTCATGTCTGTGAAAATGCCCCACAGAATTCAAGAAATGGTAGTAAAGAATTAAAAAGAAGAAAATAATTATCCTTCATGAACCAACTTAAACTTGCATTACAAAGGGAAAGAATATGCTGATCAAGAATCTGTCAACTATACTACACAATGTATACTAATAACATTGACATTACAATAAGGAAAGTGTCACCATCTTTCATCATGAAGAGGGCCGAGACAAAATGAACAACTTTATATTTAATTGAAATTTCTCTTTTCCTTGACTTCTTTCAAAAATGAAAATTTTTTCTAACTCAAAGTGAAAGTCCCTGACTTTTCCTTGTTATGTGGCAACTATGCTTTTGGTAAAATGAGTCACAAGGTTATGTTTTACCACCAAACCATAATTTACCTCCAACAATTCTCATTGTATGAGAATAATGAGAATACTGCACTCAAACTCATCAGGTAGAACTTGTTGTCTTGATCTACCATCAAATTCTCAAAACTAATTAACAAGGAAGTGTGTAACAGCTAAAGGAGAGAATTAACAATCAGATCTTGTGAGTTAAAGTCTGTTAAATACTAACCTTTTTATAGGAATTCGTTGATGGAACCAAAAGAACTTGAGCCTATTGTTTCTTTTCACTGCCAATTGATCTAACTCAAATAAGATGAATGCATAGTCTCTACTGATCATTTCTAGCTGCTTCGCAAGGTAGAGAGTCTCCAGACCGATGGTGTAGCTACCAATAACTAGAACAACTGAAAGATAGAATAGGACAGAAAGTAAAATCTTTGCCTGGTTGTGGAATGAAGAAAGTTGTTCTTTGCTCAGTCATGAGGGCAAAAAAAAAAAAGAAAAAGTTGAGTTCAAAGTTCACATTACACACAGGAATCAACACCCAGCCCATTACATTTGTATCTCCAATGCTCTGACACTGAGCCAATAACAATAAAAATAAACTTAATATTTCCCACATTATCCTTACCCTTCACACACCAACATCAGTATGCATAATTCCCTATCATGTTCTCTATTAATTTCCAGTTTTGTCGACAAGGAGAATTTTTTCAACAGTCAAGAGCTTCTGGAGTGGGTGGTCATTTTTTTGTACTCTCAAAAAGCCCCAAAAGCACAACACTATGATCTGGCTACATCTGGAGCCCAGAAGCAGAGATATAAGAACTAACGTAACACCTGACTCTACCAATCATGAGTCAAACGACTTACTGCGTGCTTTCCTTTTGAGCTTTTCCAGTGCATCACGAAACTGTGCCTCATGTTTACTGTCATAAAGCACGGGGTTCACGGTTGTGTATTCCATTGCTACATCTATTCTCTCTTTTTCAAATTCCTCCATAAGGTAGTCTTTCAAATCCATCCATTTTGTTGTATTCTGAACAATGATAGCGACTCTAGTCCAATTGTAGGTATATTTTAAGAGACTGATGATACTGGGAGCAACTTGATTGTCAACAGCAAAAGTGCGAGAGAATGTGGGGAATTTCTTTTTAATAGATAGCTCTGCAGCACTGCACATCTAAAAAAAAAAAAAAAAAGACTGCAGAATGAATACATTGACCCTTCAACTCCCATGAATGACCAGGACAGAATTTTTCCTTACAATATCAATACAATATCAACCAGTAAGTGATGAGAATAAAGAAAAATATCAAGTTAGGGATAATTAGTTGATCCAATACTAAATTCTCAGAACTAACGTTTCAAGAATTGTATGGTTAACAGTAAGGAGAATTACAAATTTGATCTGGGAGTTAAAGGGTTAACCAGCAAACAGGTAAAGAGAATACTCAAACTTATTCCATAGAATTTGTTACTTTGATTTCACACCAAATTCTCATAACTAATTTACAAGGAAATGTGTAGTAGCTGGAGGGGAGAATTAACAATCAGATCCTGGGAGTTAATAGGTTAAGTTGTTAAACTCTTGCTCTCATGACCTAAATACCCATTCTTCACACTGTGTGCCAAATATAACTTATACTTTTATCGCTGAAATGTGGCGTTAAAATCAAACAGTATCCCCAAGTTAATATTTTTCTTTTGTCTCATGCCTTCTCTAAATGGTAATATATTCATTTGATACACTCCATATAAAACTCATATTATTTTAATTATCCCTTGGTAATAAAGGAACAGTGAAGATTAACATTTTTCATTCTAACATAAGTATCTATATTTTCCAAACTCTTATGTACAAATTCCCTTTGATACTAACAGGGAGAATTGGTTTCATAATCAAAGCTTCTTAAGATGGCGATCATTTCCTTTATTCTCATAAACTTAAAGACTGATTCAGCAGTATTACTGTGAGGAAAAATTAGATACTGGTCACTCTTGGGGTTTAAAGGGTTAGGGAATTCAATAATTGATTATTATTATACAATTTTAGAGCAAGGGGTGAGGTAAGCAGAATTTTTAAATTTTATTATATGAAAGCTAATATCCAAAGATTTTATATCAACAAGTTGTATAACTGTAATATTTTAATAGTCCTTTCCTCAATCTTGAAAGTAACAGGTTAAAAGGAAATCACTCACATGCACTTTGATAGCAGGTACAGTCATCACTTCATATGATGACTTGATCATAAAGTTAAAACCACTGTAGTTGATACATCAACACTGGCTTAAATTCTGAAGTCCTCAGATCTCACAAAATTTATTTCTTTCTGAAAACCTTGAAGGCTAGTCAAACCACTTTTCATGAAAAAAAAAACTGACTTTGCTATTTGCTTTACTCTCATATCAACAGCTGTTCATGGGATATACATGTACTTCAAAAAGCTCTGAAAAAATTCACCAAACAAGGATCTCATATAGCACAGCTTTAGACAAAGATAATTTTGAATTCTCTTGGAGATTTAATATACAAGTTATTCACAACAGAAGCTGCAAATTAAACCACCAAACAATAAAGAACACAGTTCAATAGACTAAGTAACCAAATTAGCTCCTTGAATTTGCTAATCTTATGAAGTTTCATTTTAAGACAGCACATGTTGTTTAGTGCCAAAAAAGATGTATTTATATTATACAGAATCACTGAATTTCTTAGCAGGGGGTTAATGCAATACCACTATTCATACAAAAACTAAGACATTGTAAATTTGAGCAATTTGGCATTGTCACTCTGCCCATAACAAGTCACATTGTCTTTATATCCTTAATAATAAAAGTGAGTAATTTCTTCCAGTGGGGTTTAGCGTATTTAACCTGGTTATAAATTTTTAATTTTGGTAGCGATTTCCCAGATGGATCTATTGATCTTCACAGCTCCTTTAGGCTCACACAGCAATATTCAATAATTAATCATTTTTGAAATGAATATCAACAGTGAGTTAAATTTTGCATCAAGACTGGCACAAATGGTCAAGCTTGTAAAAACCGTGTTGATAATGTAAAGACTCAACATGACTTTTTTCACAGTTATTTCAAGTTAATTGCAAACTTCACAATAACAAGAAAATTTTGTAATTTGAGCCAACAAAAATACTCAATTTGGTTTTAAGCTCATATGGAGTGCCAAACCCTTGACAAGCGGCTGGAATTAATTCAAATCTGTGAGCATCCAAGATTTATACATTTCCATTACAAAATTTTAGAGAGTGAAAGAGTGTTTCTTGTAAGCTTGAAATTTCTCACAAATATTCAAAAGAATTTTAAAAAGAAAGAAAGAAAATGGCTCCCTCAATTGAAACAAAGCTCCTGTCAAGGATTTGACCTACACATAGGCACAGAATTTGCATCCTCCAAAATTTCAAGCGTGGAATAATAAATGTAGAGTGCAATATTTTCCGGTTCGATGAAAACCAGTCTGGAATAATCCAGAAAATGGAAAAATACACAGCTGAGTGGAATTTAAAACTTTAAATTAAAACAAAAGTAAATCATAATGCAAGACACATGTCACAATACTTATGTATAGTTTATAGCACCATGCACTTCCCTTGTTTCAGCCCAACCACAAAACAATCTTGGCTAAAAGTCTACATGAAAACATCGGGAAGCTATTCAAATCAAGAGGTATTAGAGCATTCCGACTCCAACTCAAGTAGCTAAGACCACAAGTATGTTTTCATAACTAATGCTTCTCGCTGATGTTCTCAGCAATAAATGTCAGACTAAAAAATCAAAACAGCTTTTGAAGTTAAGAATATTAAAGAACTGAGTGTTGAGCTGAGAATACCAAGCAATGTATTTGCTGAATCACTGCTTAAAAATAGTTTCAACATAAACGATGTCATATCTTTTCTCTCCTTTTGAAATAACACGAATTTCCATTTAGCAAATTAATGGTACATGGAGGAAATGATAGGAAATAACAAGTTCTCTTCTCCCCGCATTTTGATGTTTGTTCGTTTGTTTGAATGTAACTTCCCAGCTTAAAAGGAAATTGTCAACTTGAAGTATCATCTCGTAAATGCCAAACAGATAAAACCACTTCTGAAACGTAACCCGGAGTAACCGCCACGTGAATCACAACAGAAACACAAATCACATTTACTTTTAAGTTGTTTACACCTCATAAGCGAAAGAGGGCGATCTTAAACAGAGGTATGGAACAGTGGGATGAGTTCGCAACCAGTGTGTGAGAAACGCACAGCACCTCAGGCGTTTCTTTTGAACTGGAGACAAACGCGTTACGAATACAAACAAATGAAACAAGGGAGTTTAGATCAAAAACAGCGGGTTCGGAAATGTGCACGAAAGTAATATTGACAGCCGAAAACCCTTTTAAAACCTTATTGTCAAATAGAAAGTGAGTAATATATATATTTGCACAAATGAGGCCAAAATTTCTTTTCTTCGCAGCGAGGAAGTAAGCTTTATACCAATAAAATCACACAGAGTTTGAATGTGGCACCGGTAAACGAATAATTCAAAATGGTAATAGTTCAAATTTGCGACAATCTTTGCGACGCGGTGGTGTTTTGCGAGGATTTAATGAAAGAAGGATTTCATGATAAAATGATTGACACTGCCCTTTCTCATGCCAAGTTTAGTTAACTTCACCGCATATCTTGAATGTGCATCTCACTTTTAATCGAATGAACGATGAAATTGAGCGGCAGTTGCTTGCAGTGATCCTGCTGAAAGGGACTATTCTTCGAATTACGGAACACGATGAAATATTCAGGAAGCTCAAATAGAACAAAAACTGAGCAATTAGCGATGTTTTGAATACGAACGTTAAGGGCGAAGAGGCAGCTGGTAAACTGAAATCAGTTAGAAACTGACTCGAAGCCAACTGACAAACTAGTGATTCCCTTACGAGAGGAGGTCTACGTGATTTCTCTAGAAAAGCGCATAATAACAAACTTATATAAAACTACAAAACTCAAGACCAAACATCACAATAAAACATAATGAAAATATCATAAAATTCAGAACATGAGAAGACATGATACTTACAAACGAGATTATGGACATGTTGAAAGCCGCCGCGTTCCTGGCAGCAGTTTGACAATTACATCCAGGCCCTATGAACGCTTGAACTCCAGAATTAATTTGATTTAACTGCTCGTAGACAGCAATCAATTCATCGCACTTGGTGTCTTTCCATACAAATGTAACATTATAATCGGCCAAAATCGTTGGATCCGCATTTAATCTCTCCACCGCGATTGTCATAGCCGCTGCGAAAGATTCTCCCTTATTAAAGTCGTGTTCGAAATGTGGAATCACCGTAGAATATGGTATGAGAAGACCCAATTTGTACTCCTTTTTCTCCGCCAACGTTAAATAGTTTATCATTATGAGAAAAACAATAAACACTGCGGTGGACGCCATAACTCCTGTAAACACAGTCATGGCACAGACGATTCTGAGATGGCTTTGGAGGCGAGAGCTATGCACAAGCGATCGAAGACATCGACGGATCCATCTCTATACGATAAATAAAACTCATCCGAGAAACCAAATGTTTTATCCAGATGATAAAAATTTCCACAACCCTTTGCGGTTAGAAATTCTAATAAAACTATCCACGACTATCCAGAGTTGTGGTCTCAGCCAGGTTACAATCGTCGATCAATACTCCCTGTAAATTTTTAACACAATAACAATATGGATGGCTTGTCCAAGCAGTTAAAGCAACCCAGTTAAGTTTGACAGATCAACAGTTTGATTATCCATATTTCCATACTTTCAGTCCGATACTGACATTGAGAGGGCGGCTTCAACTGTACCTGACTGTCTGACTTCTCAGAGAGTTACGGTCCAATGTCCCAGCCGGTTGGGTTCATTTGAAAGGCATCCTGGTTTGGCAGCCTCATGAATAATACAAAATTTTTACTTCGTTAGCAACAAGACGGCATTACACTGCGCTGCGAATCTTTTCCAGCCACACAGCAGCAGAAATTCAACGAGAACTTTACCAAATGAACTCCCTTCTACCTGCAGAAAACAACAAATCAAGAGAGGTCTAATCTACCACTATGGTAATCTTGTTCAGACCAGTTCCAACTGTAAATAGACCGCAATCCCTTGGGAGCCGATGAGACGAACACTTCATTACGAAAACACTAGGAAAACAAAGACATCGAGATTATATTGGTCTTTGAAGATTCGAGAACGAAATGCCAGATTTTAAGCGGCAAGAATGACACTTTGTTTTTATTTTTAAAATACATGTACTTTGCTGTAGTAGAGAATTTTCTGGCTCAAATCAAATATGACGGATCGTGTTGAGATATTTCAACCTGCTGTGATCGCATACTTTACAAAAATTTCGCATTATTTTCATAACGTTTTTAAATAGCAGATTATAATCTACATGGTTGAAAAGAAAGAAAATTGCACGTATTTTAATTTGCGACATATGGCAATATTCCAGAAATAATGTTCATTGTTCTTACATGTTCCAAATCTCTGCCGATCAGTTTCCCGCCAAAAAGTCTAAGAGCTGCTCATTTGAAAGTAGTGAAAGAGAAATTGCTATTTACAACAATTGGAAATAGACGGATGATGCAAAGAGAGACAGGAATCATCTCATACAGATGGCCGAGGAAAATTGGTAAAAATACCTAACCAACCGGCTCCTTTTAACTTACAAGGCTACAATTAAGAAAAGTTAGCGTCTTCCCTGACAAGGAAACTGGTATTTATCGATCGTGAAAGAAAAAGGAAAGAAATGAGATTATACAGATTAATTTCCTGAATAACCTTTATCCATCCGAGACTATTTATTTTCCTCAGCAGGACACGCTTACTAGAACCCATATAAATTTTCACCTTCTAATTGAATTTCCTGCAGATTTTTTACCATTTACCACCTGATCATTTCATTTCTAAATTTAAATCACCTTTCCAACCTGTTTCCGTTTGTTGAAAGATCGATCAGTCCATAATCACAATAGTGAAAAGCCCTAAAGCTTTAAAAAAGATTACTGATCTCTCCGTATGGCGATCAAACGTTTAATCACATCTCTGATTCGCGCTTTTATTTATTTGTTGTTGTCTACTGAGATTCTTTAACATTTGAAAAAATGGCTTCAATGTGATCATTTGAGAGCTATATAGGTGAAAAGCTACTCTGTTTATGCCTCTACGGTTCAACGGAACCTTTGAGCCAGCAATAAATGATATGCTATCTTTATTTTGAGGCATTGCTAAATGATGCCTTAGGTTTTTAGCGCCAACATGAAGAGAAACTTGCTTATCCGGAAATTACCTGCGAAACAAGCTTTTCTTGACAACAACCTCAGAATCAATGATGGTCAGATAAGTTTCAAGCAGAACAAACCCACAAAAGCGGTTCTGGTCTGCAAAAATGAAAAATAAATAAATAACCAAAGGAAAATTTTTTATTACACGTTAGCAGTGGCATTGGCAGCCGAGAAACGTGTAAGATTGTTTCTTGTAAGCGATTTGTTAACTGTTTTTCATTGTTAAAGCATGTTTCTGTTTATATAGCCGGTGAAGTTCGGCTCTTTGATAATGGTGATTGGTAAACAAAACCCACTGAGATCGTTTGTGCGAAAATATAACCACCCGAGAACTGAAAAAAAAAACTGTCTGCACGCAAGATTGCAGCGAAGGCGGTGAAAATTTGTAACAATGTACAATTTACTTCAATAAGTGCGTGTAAGACCGGATGATGGCTACGTTCGGGAATGGTCTTGTCAAAATGAACGAAGGAAACGAGGCATTAATATAGACAGGAAAAAGCACGATAACACTCTCATGGCTGTTTAATACAAGATAGAGTCCCACTGTAAGTTTCGTTTTTTTACCGATATCGATGCGGCCTTCGCGTTTCGATTGATAAAATTCGAGACCCACGAAAAAAGATATGTTTACAGTAGTTATAATTACGTCGCGTTTCATACCGAGAAAATAGCAGTTTTTCCCCTGCTTTTGTCTCACCGCTTCTAGTTGTCGATCAAACGCTTTATTTTGAATCAAGCTCCCATTCAGTTAATCTCAAGGAACTAATTTTATTTTTGTCTGAGTGTAGTAGATAAATCTTGAAACGAAATCTTAGCTGAGCTGCAACCGCGTTCAGATCCCCAAGTTTAGCTAACAGAATGTACTTCAAACTTTGGCTTCTAGTAATTTTGGTATTAAAAATAATTTACTAGCAATAAGTACAAAGGCACCAAAATAATTAAATATTATTAACAGTAAAATCACAGTTACTAAACATCCCGCAACCCAGATTGCGTTGTAAACAATGATCGTAGACAACATCTATGGGTGTTGCTCGGCTGATCAATTTTAATTTACGCGTTTGTACAAAAACTGTATCTGTTTTTAGTATTTTTAATATTCAAGTCAAAGACCACCCCAGAGCTCAGTGAAAAACACAAATTACTGCAACAAAAGTATTTCCTATATACAACAGCACGCCAGAAAAAGGTAAATTTGATGTCAATGGTTGTCTAGCGAAAACGTCCGTTTATACAAACGCGAAATTTAGTAAAGAGAATATCGATCCGAATCGACAATTCTGTGATCGAAAATGTTTTTTGATTTTCTCATTAAGATCTTGTAATATTCCGGAGTGATACTAAATCATATCGAACCGTAATCCAACCTTTGAATTTGGATGTGATAAACATTTTAGTGATAAAACTCAATCTTAATTTAATGCAACAGCTTCGAGCATAATTTGCATTTTAGTTCTTCACATATTACTGCAACAATCAACATTTTGAAGTGCTTTTTGACGTGCCAAGTGAGCGGTTTCCCATTCTCGTTATGGGTAAAATCAAGCGGAATTTCATCTCGTGCGTTGAGAAAAAGGAGTTTGACTGACTAGAACAAGGAAATTAAAATTAATGACAGGAGGAAAAAAATTTATCGGCGAAAATCAGAAGCTGAGTTGGTACGTTGAAATATAACGAGAATATAGTTAACACAATAAACAATTCTTGGTGAGTTGTTCGAAATACAATTTGCCTGGAGAGCTTCTAAATCGACATGGAATGGTCGTTGATTACTGCTCACCTTTTCACGATTTGAACACTCAGTAGTTGTTAGCAATTACACGGTTTAGAACGTAAAATTTCGTTTAAAGAAAATTCTTAATAGTCTGTTTACATGGAAAATCTGGCATAAAATACACAGGGAGATCGGACGGGAATTATTGCTGACGTACTCGAAATCGAGGGCCGACTTACGAAAATGAAACATCTTTTGCGAAGACGATTGTTTTTGTCCTCGTAAACCTAAACTCTTCTGTTTATATGCCTAGAATGAAACACTGGTGATTCCTTTTCACTTACATTCTACTTAAAAAAAATATGTTACAGTGCATACTCCTTGATGAAATTTGATTGTAACTATCGTAAAGACAACGGGGCTAAATATTGTAAAACAAAACTCACCAGAAATTGTGAATATTTTTGATGAACGCGAAGGTGATCGATCGTACAGCCTTCAAAATCAAGTTTTTTACGGAAATGCGCTCGATTGCCCCGCGTTCTTGTGTAAATCCGTCGTGTATCTTAGTAGCGAAGAGTCGGCTCCCTTCAGATCAATATGTATGTAATTACCCGGCGTTTGAAACATCTGCTTGGCTTGTTACTGATCGGCAACGCTTTTGCACGTCAGCTGAATTTTCATTATAACCGCGTACGACTTTATCCCAGCCTGACTAGTGTAATCTAATTTAACGATTAGGGCCAATTAAAGAGCGATTCATGTTCTTGTGATTGATAGCTGTCAATTATTGATCACAGCAGGCTTGTTCTCGATGCACACATCAGCTTTCCAGCAGGCTTGTTCTCGATGCACACATCAGCTTTCGGTGCACTGACCCACGATGGTCTGCGATCCGTTAAAGGTGTTTCTGGTATTAATCGTCTCCCTGGGAATTAAACTCGGTAAATGTCTCTTTGGGGTAAACAAATAAATTAACAAGTTTCCTATTCTTTCCTCGATTGGTTATTCTTTTCTTAACGACTGAAAGTCTGGCTAGCAACAAACATCGACTTCATTAACACGCTTTTCGTCGAGACCAAAAACAAGTTAAGTGTTCTGAAGCGCTGACGAGACCCGACGCCCTTCCAATGTTTCCTACACATTTTTACAACAAAGTGTCGTTTCGCGTGGTTGTAGTGATAAATTATCAGACTTTTGGTTCAAGGCGTTTTAATTCATTCAGTTCAAAGAGACTGGAATGGTTTCCAAGGATACCTAGTGAATAAAAAATACTGCGCAAGTCCTAAATACGAGGCCTGCTGCGCAAAATATTGACTTTCAAACTGAGTCATTAATATCTTTGTACAACCGCACTGTCAGTTATTGATCTGCCCAAAGGACTGTACCAGGACAACTAAGATTCAATCCGAAGTCTGCTCTTGTTTAAGCGTGCAGGCCGAAAATTCAGGTGAATAAACATTATTTTAAAAGAAATACTACCTGAGTAAACCATTACACTGTCTAGGCCTATCTTTATTGCGTTAAATAAAAATATTTTTATTCTCAGCTTAATACAACCGAGAAATACAACTTTTTCGCGGTTGAATGAAATAAATAATTGATCATTTGCAACAATAGGAGAAAATCTGAATCTAACAATCCATGAAAGGACGTAGGTGAAAATGTTAAGGTAAACCGACGTGCATGCAATCGTACATAGGTACAAGAGAACGCGTTGTGTTCTGTTTCCTAGTAAAAAATCTTAAAAAAAAAAAACAAAACAAAAGCAATTTTTCTGCAACTTATGTGAGACGATAAAGCCATTTATAAATATTTCTGCCGATTATATCATGTGTTAACATACTTAATAATCTCGACATTGTATTGCTCGAGTTTATGACAGAGTTTGCTTTTCTATTTTGGGTAAAAATATTCTATTTTGGGTAAATATTTTTTAAGGCAGGTAGCTCTTTAAATATGCGGATTTCGTGCGTAAAAGAAAGAAGGAAACGAACTGCTTTAGAAGGAGCTTCTCATTAGTAAATTTAAAATGATAGAGTCAAAAGCTTTTTAGTCTTTTTCCTGTGCTTTTAAGAATATTTATGCTATTTGCATTTCGCTCAGGAAGTCCTAATGTTCTTGGGAACAGAAACTTAAGTGCTCCTTAAATACGTTTCCTCTACAGAAACACG